TGAAAATGTAATACAAGGTTTTGTGTAAGTTGTTTTTAATGAAAATTAAAAAAAAAGTTGAGCGTAAATCCGCAATAATTTTTTATGAGTATTTAAACTTAGATTTTTGACAATATTCTTAAAAATCACGAAAATTGGAAATTTAAATTTATAGTTACAAATTCATAATATTTTTTCTATTTATATCTAAAATTTAAAAATTTAATACAAGATTCCTTACAAGTTTGTCTACGTTTATCAAACAATTTCTACCGGGAAGTTAAATTAAATTTTTATGAGAGTTTGAATTTGAAATTATTACAACATTGGATATTAACTTGCTCTTGTAGCGATTTTCTTATTTTGTTGTAATTCAAAAACGAATTTCTGTAGACACTTGAAATTTACACCAAATAATTATTTCATCAATTCAAATACTTGATAAAATTTTGACTCGTTTTCAGCTGTTGACGGATATTTTCAATTTTCATTTTTTTTCCTTTTTCTTTTTCTATAAATGACAATACAATTTTATTGATTGGGTCAAAAAGTATGAAAATTTAATACAAGACACAAAGAATAACGTTTATAATTTTGTTGTAATTCGGTTCCAAAACAGCTCATCTTCACATAATTATATTTAGTATTTTTACAGCATCACTGATAATTTAAGAATAATATTAATTTAACTTACCACCTACCATATTCATAATAAGTAATAACAATATAAAATATCCTACTGACATACAGTCTCCGCTCAGAATTGTTTTTCGTATAAAATGATATGATGTCATTGAATTAAAATTTAATACCATCCATTATAGAGACCTCCTATAGACACTTAATGTACAGCAGAGCGACATCCACTTATCCGCTTTTTTATATTTAGAACTGTGAATAGACGAAGAATTTTTCTACAAACAAACCTAAAAGAGATAAAACATAAAAATTTATATGTATCTAATTAAAAAATAAATAAATAATTATTTATTTTTTAGGTTTATTAAAATATATAAATACTTACATGTTTATTTTAAAAATACCTAACTGCATATTCTATTGAATAACATTGCATATTTAAGTTTTTTTATTGCATATGTATGTAGTTACATATTTCATTATTTTTTAGAGTGTTAAGTTCCAAAACCCCCTCATAAGCATAACTAGTCAAAATATTTTGAAAATTTTAACATGCATGGAAATTTGGAAAATAAATATTTGATGAAAATTTCAAGTACCTATTATAATTAATAGTTATCAAATTGCAAAAAAAAATCGTGTGTATGTTGTTGCAATAACAAGATGGAAGAAGTCCATCAAGGGTTCAAATTTTAAGTTATTGTAATAGAAAAATAAAAAACAATGACATTTACACATGCAATTTTTTCGACAACAATTAATTTAACTTACTATAATTATAATGGCTAAAAGTAAAATAATTTACTTTAATCAGAATAATATCATAAAATATACCTACTTCGTAATATCATAGGGTGACAGATGTCTTCACTTAGTCGTTTTCGTGTAGGTACAAAATGTGTACATCATTGAATTCAAAATTAACACATCCATATTACAGTGATTATCCCTGGACACCTAATGTACACAGAGCTTACCTACGCACTTACTCGCTTTTTTGTAATTTCATTTTAAATTGCGTATTATACAAAATTAAAAGGTATCGAGATATTGTAATTGTAATTTTAATTTTAATTATAATATTGTTATATTATACCGATATATATTTATATTTTATTTTACTAACAATAGCTATACAACAATTTCTTATAATTACCTACCATTAATCGATATTAATTGTGCAACCTGTATGTTAATTTATGCATAATATAGATAATATTAAATTTAAGTACCCGTAATTAATTGACTTTTCTCAAAATTAAATTTTTATAGTTCAAATTAAAAATAAAATATTTTTTCGAAAAATATTAAAAGTTGGTCACCTTTATCGTTGGTAGGTGCGGTGTATTAATAAAAACAGTTTGATACCAAAGGGAAAATATGAACAGATTTTAATGTTATTAAAAGTATAAAACTATACAAGACACTTAGTTATAGGTACCGACTACAATTTAAAGTATATTGTATACAATGCTGCCATATTTGTTGAAGCAATTGATTGGTCCTTACTCCTTAGCGGCTTAGCAAACGGTGGAGACGGTTGGAGTGTTGGACGATACATTTGGAAGATGGCTCTGATAAACGTGTTGTCAGTTGTGGTTATAAACAAAAGACTCAGTATAAAGAAGTTTATAATTAAATAACTATTTATACTACAGTATAAAGATATACATCTTTATAATGCTGTAGCTAGGGAATTATAATGGTAATAGTAAATTAGTAAACAGGCTCTAAAAGTTGTACGTTTAAAATGAATATTTAGTGTGATTGCAGCCGGTGTTAATTACAATAAATTGTTTTTGGCGATAATAAAAACTGATATTTTACAGGAAATTGAACACGATAGTACATTTAGACATAGTTATTAGAGACATAATTATGTACAAAAATATAAACATCACATTCACATAACCTAGTTAAGTCAGACGCAGATCCAGCCTGCATTAACGGGGTGGATTACAAAAAGCAACAATATATAAATTTTAGGTTTATACGAGTAAATAATATGGGCATACATACAATATTATGCAATAATTATTATTAATTATATAAAAGTAGAATAAATTGTTTTTTTTAAAATAACATTGAGTTTCATCGATGCAAAAAATGTAATTACTGCTATAATAATATTTATATAATACGGCCCAACGAAGGCGTACACCCCTATTGACCCTGCTGAATGCACACCTTACGCTTTCTTAAGCGTGGTATTTTAGGTACCCATATAAATATAGATTGAAGTAATGCAAAAGTATAGTTCCATCCCCGGTTCACTGTTCAAAAAAAAAAAAAATTACTCATATAAATGTAACTTAGACAATTTGATTTATATCAGTCCAGCAACCCTGTTTGCTAGACCAGTTCTTGTAGTGGGATTTAACACTTGTTAGCTGGGTAGGATTTGGTATACATACATTGAGTGACACAAGGTTTAAAATAACGTAGGAGGCGTGTTGCAATTTATATGCAATGATTAATCATATCAGATTAAAATTCAACACATAATATATTACAGTATCATTGCATCACATCATTACTCATAAATCATAATGACCAACATACAACACCTTGTTGCTGTACAAGCAGAGCGGTTACCCACTTACCACTTTTTTTACTTGAACTTGTGTTTTATTTATTATTCTTCTGTTTTATTCATCTGTGAAATCGACTTAAATTAATTATCCACACGAATCCTGAACATCATATATGGTTTTTGGCTATCATTAACTACGACAATTAGGTATACTTAACAAACGTGTCATTTGTGGATTAGTCCATAATCAAAAGCTTTATACTAAATTGTGATCTTGTAGAATATAAGGTTGTCCAGATGAAGGTTAAAAATTAACTTAAGTAAGCTAAAATAAATCATACATATAACTTATTAAAATTATGTAAAATAACTCTATTACAATATACAACAATAAATGTATTAGGTATTTTATATTTATTTGCTTACTAATTTTAAAATCTAAACAAATGTATTATAAGTGAATAGTGATGGTTGGTATACAATTGTAAACTTGTGCATAAAGCAAGACTTTTACTAGTTTACAGTAAAATGTAAATTTCGTTTTAGAGTTGTACGTGTCAGTGGCATCGTTTCCACATATCTACCTACCTTAAAACAAATGATATTATGTAACTTTACCAAAAAGATGATTTTAAAATGATTTCTTTAAACTACTCGTATCTTATACAAGGTAGATAATATACGAAAGTATATACGTTTTTAAGTACTTCATAGTTTTTGAGAAATATTTTTATATCTAATATAGATACATTTATCTTGGTAAAACAAGACTTAAAATAGGTAGTACTTGCCTGCATTTGTTATATTTGTCTTACAAGTATGTAATATACAGTGTTGAGACTTGTTGTTTAGACAAATTAGTCCATAGAAGACAGAAGATTTTATCCAAATGGTACGTGTTCCATGTAATTATGGTATCCATCACTAGAAAATTGTATAAATGCAGTTGATATTTTTGAAGGGTTTATAGAAAATTTTAAATATTTATAATTTTGGATTTTAGATCCTAAAAATGTAATGTACCTAATAAAATAATCTAAAAAACTTATATTGTAAAAGCTCAAATCGTATAACTTATATTTTGTTCAGTTTTTAATTTAATTACATCACTTATGATACTATATACTCACATTGAAATATACTTGGTACTATGCGTATCTAATATAACAATTGATTTTATATACTATATTATCTTTATCTTCTCTAGATATAAGTAAAATGTATGTATCTCTATCTATATCTAGATAAATGTACCTATGCACAAATATACAATAATCTGTATCTTAACTATGTAAATAAAATTTCAGTTATCTATTCCCAATGCTGGATTAACATCATTGATAATAATATTATATTCGATGTTTAATGTTTATATTATCAATACCAAATCTATAGCTAAGTTACAAATTTACGTTCAGCTTCAACACTTAAATATTTTTAATATGATACACAGAGACAGAGTATAATAATTATATTACAATAATACTATAATATGTCTGTGGTATGATTTGACAAACCATATAATGAATTATTATTCTTTTAATTATAAGTAGGTAACAACAATTTCTGCTTTAATATGTCGATTGTTTATGATATTTTAATTTTCAAGCGAGTTATGAATATTTTAAAATTACATCTATATTTTATGTTTAATAATAAGTTTAAAACATAACTTAGCTGATATTTCCTTTTATATTATGTAAAAGAACTTGATATTAAAATTGAATAAACTGCTGTAGGTAGGTAATAGATAATAGGAAAAATAAGAATAAATAAATAAATAAATACTCAGATAATAGGTAGGTCATGGTTATTAATAGTATTATTACACTAGCTGTGGATAGGTTAAAACTTACCTACGAATACAAATACTGAATGACAAAATAATTATGATAATTTCAATCATATTATTTTGTATGATTATGTAATTTTATCAAATAGGTTTTTCCCACGGCCGTATTAGACTCAACTCGACTACAGTGCAGGAAAGTAATTTTTGTTCGTTATTTTTTAATTTTAAAAACATTTTGTATTTTCCATAAAAATAAACTTTGGGAAAGTTATGATCTTCTAATTCTTTCAAGTTAAACCCTGATGTAACATATGTGCCCTGAAAAAATTAAACGATAAATTGTTATAAATACATTATCATTTGAACATGTATGTGTAAAGTACTATTGTGTTCGTATCTTTAGAATAGGTTTTACTATAAAACATTTTGAAATAAAACTGATTAGAATGTATAATGTTCTAATGTACAAATTTAAAATTTGGATTTCTTTAAAATATGATGAAATTAATTCTTAATAGTGTGTATTAATAAACGTACCTATGCGGCTATGCGCATTTACCTTTGATGTTTAATTGTTTTTAAATAATAAATACAAATAAGGCAATAGATAGGTATATCGATTATAGATTACAAATTGTAGAACTAAAGAAAACATAACCATAATTAGTCCATAAGGATAACCAATAGGTAGATAAGTTAAGTCAGTGTTACTATTCAATCAATTGTATTCATGTATATTATGTATGTAGCCATGTAGGTAACCTAATTTGTAATACCTACCTAAAGACTGGGCATTAACGACTAACGGGTTAAAAATTGTACCCAACTTAAGAGGATTTCGGAGCTTTATTTTTTTCTCTCTGGCCCATGCGCAACATTGGTAATATTACGTTTTTATTATATTTTAATTTTGAAGCGAGTTATGAGTATTTTATGTCTTTAAGATGGACAAACAATTTACAATTTTAAAATACTCATAACTCATTTTAAAATTGAAATATATAAAAAGCCTATGCGATGTCTTTGATAACAATCTTACCTTTAAATTTTGTAAGAGGTCATTTCACTCTAATTTTAGAAACTACTGTTAATCATTATTGTGAACGTAAAATTTAGCATGGGTCAACCCTCAGAGAGAAAAAAATGTGCTAACGCCCTCTCAAGATATTTTTAAATAAGTTACTTAATGGGTAGTTAACTTGTTTTTTAAAATAATATGTTACTTTAATCTTTAGTAATAGGCGTAAGAAATTTTCATTTTTTATTAGTTTTTAAGAAAAAATATTTGTAATAAAAAATTGTTTACTATTTGAATAACTTTGAAAATATAGTACAAGTAACTAAATAGTTATTTTATTTATTTAATGTGTTAACTTAATTTTAATTTTTTAGTCGTTAATGCCTGGCCTTCATTTTAGTGACCGGCAGAGCGGTACCGGCCATCTTTTTCAATACATTTACTTAACAAGTATAAAAAAGTACCTATGCCCAGCGTTGAAGTCACTTACTCAATTATGTGGTTCACTTAAAACCTACTATATATAGCAGTGACTTTACCGTTTTTTAAAATTATCTATTCTCTATAGTTCAATAATTTTGGCTTGAAAAGTTATGTTAATAATAAGTCTTGGATGATTATTGATAGAGGATAGCTTAATATTTTGTTAAGTATTCTTATTAATATTAATTCATAAATTTGCAAATCATAAAATAAGTTAAACCCATGTTTTAATATACAATTAATTAATTGTTTTTATACATTACCGCTGCTACAGGACAGCTTACAGGGCCAACATTGAAAGACTTCAAGATTGAATTCCAAGAATTTCCTAGTATTTTTTTTGTATTACTACATGCATCCTTTGCTAAATAAACTAGTGAATTCGGTTTCCAACCTCCAGTTAAACCCCAAGACGCAACGTTTATATCAAGCTACAAAAAAATAGGTATAGTAAATTTTTTAGTTTGGATAAACTATGAACATTTACAACTAGGTATTCAAGTGGAAACAGATTTTTTTCTCACATTATACGTGTAATTAAAAAAATATCCATGCAAATATTAGAGATTCGAAGATCATAACTGTTTGTTCACCAGCACATGGCTACTTCAAAGATAATTTTATTATAATGATTTATGTAGTTTATATACCCCGTGAAAGTAAAATAAACAATTTCAAAATGTCTACTAGATCGTATTATAAACTCGACCCAAGGAAAAACCTGTTCAACAAAATGTCTATTGTTAACTGTTTCTTTTTTTTCAATTAAAGACCCTTGATATTTAAACTCGGCCCAGATTTTCTGATACTTAATTAATAATCGCCTTAAAATGTTTTTGAGAACCATTTAGTATAATAATATTACCCAGAGGACAAAAAAAGGGGGTGATTCAAATTACCATTTATCATCCAAAAATGATTTTGTTTTATTTAAATTTTCATGTTACCTATTTATTGAAAATTATGAAAATTCATTATAACAGCATTAAATTATTTTTAAGTAAAATGCCAAGTATTTAACATATTGATATACTGGTTTCTTTATTATTATACTTTTTAAGCATGATTTCTAACAATTGTTTTTTTCATTTTAGTTCTTGAATTTTTAATCTAATGGTAGGCATCTTAAATATTATTTTAAGATTAAATTGTATCATACTATCATGTTTATTATATATCATCGGTAAAAATTATCAGGCCAAATTTTGCAATCTACCTTTTTTATTAACTGAAATGTATGGGCTAAGCTTACAATAAAAGAGATTATCGCTGGCACGGCATTTTCCAGAACAAATTTACAGCCTCTTTAATTACTTAATACCTGAGTTTATGTGTTAGTTGTCTATTAGATATGCTCATTGTTCCAAATAAATATAACTTACGAGTATATTACGTATTCAATTATTTTCTTATAACGTTTTCTTACTTACTGTACAGCTATAGGTTAGGTTAGGGTTTTACTTACTGAAAGAGTATCGTCCAAAGGTATCAAATATGTAAGATTCCCTTTTAACTCAGTTACACTTAATGTCTTTTTATTTACATGAACATTAAATTTAATTGAAAGGTTTGCTGCCGTTTCACAAGAATATATTTTTTCAAATACCGTACGATATTCTCCCTGTAATAAGAGTAATAATAAATAAATACATAATACATTTTCGTAGAAATCTCATAAATAAATTATGCTCAATAATGGTAATCATAGATGATACGTAATGTATTTAATAAAACAAGCTGAATATTAGTTTACCAATGGCAAGTTAGGCATGAAACGATCTTGTGATTTAGTCGAGTAGAAAATTCCAAAAAGAACTAACATTTTTATAAAAATCATTTTTTTAGTATCTGTACTTTATTTTTACAACGGTAGACTATGTTATAAGCTTTCAACAGTTATAATAATGAATAACAGATACTACGTGAGGTAAATAATATATTATTCACACATTAAGAGGGATTGACATGCTTGAGCTGTAACCTCTAAAAGTTTCCGGAAATATTTACATTATTACAATTAATTGGGAAAAAAGTAATAAATTGGTTCCGGAAGTGATATTTTTGCACATTTTTAACTGCCTGATACAAAAATGTATTAAATTAGTTAAATGTGAATATTTTTTTATGGTATTACAATTTATTTAAAGAACTTCTTGATGAAAACAAAAAATACGATAAGTTATCTTTAATAACCCTAAACTGCATACCTAATCTGTATAGAATAAATATTGGTACCTATAAGGCTACATATAAATTTAAAACTATATCCCCGGATATCTAGCCATATTTATTTTCAAGTTATACTACTGTAACGTGGTCGGGGATGACCAGTTAAATATAAGATATTCAGGGAAGAAATTGTTTCTTTTGAATATAATTTTACCTTAGCTCGGGAGCGTGTATGATATTAGGATCTTAAACCTTAATATTACAAATGAATACGATTGATTCAGACAGTTATCAACATATTATACATTTTATTATTACTTACAACTAACATCAACCTCGGCATTCTCAGAGTTCCGGTGCGAGTGATAGTAGATCGCGGAAAACTGCTGTTCTCTAACATACTACTATGTGGCAGTAGCCTTACAATACTAACCCGTGAGACATATTTACAAAAGGAGGGACTTAATATCTAGTCAGCCTCAGCACATTGTACAATTATGTTTATAAGGTATATAATAAATATGTACATATTATGTGCCTATTAAACATATTATATTAACAAAATATAAGTAGGTAATAATGTAACCATCGTTACACTACAAACAGGGGTGTCATCTGAGGGGCTGTAGGTATAATTTTTCTGCGCCACGAAGAAAAATAATCTTTTAAATTGATCTTAAGTACCGGAGACTATATGGTCATGTGGTATTATTACCTAATGTATAAATTAAATCAAATATAAAAACGTTTGGTTTATATTAAATATTTTATGTGTGACTGAGGATTTCAAGATTTATTTTGTATACAATGTTTATGGTAGGTATAATAGTGTTCATACATTTTACTTTGAATATTTTGTAAAAAAAAAACTATTGGCACTATGGTTTTGAAAAGGATGTCTCTTTATTACAAATATTGTCTACTGTTCTGTGAACTTATCCGTTGAGATAAAATTTGAGATTATTAGCGGTGAGTCATTCATTACAGTGGCAGGATGGATATTCAAGCATCATGAAGATGCAAATAATATTATTCTTTTGTAATATTTTGATACTATCTAACTTATTCACTAGTATTATTAAGTATACGATAATATACATTGTTATGCTTAATGTTTCGCTGACATAGCCTTATTAATATTCTACTTTATTAATCGTTATAATTATCATAATAATTATTTCTTGTTTTCTGTTATTACCATACAAATAAATAAATAAATAAATAAATAAATGAAAATGAATATTTTGTGTAATATACTTAATCAAAGTTATTTTTTTTTTAGTTCGCAAAGATTAAACGACCATTATTTTATCTTTTCATCTGTTTCTTTGTAGTTTATTTTATCAAATAATAAACAATACATAACATTGACATGGATATTTTTGTATTGATTTGTAAGATATAATAAAATAAATAGTAAAAAATATAGATTAGTGGAGTGTACCATTTTTTACTTGATTCATTGATAGATATGTATTAAACAATGTAACATCAGTTATTTACATGGATTCCTTGATTTACTTTATTATATTAACTATGAACATTGTTAAAGATATTTCATTATTTACTTGTTTGTGGACTTTCTACAGGTTAGGTTAGGTTAAATAGTTAATGATATGTATTAGGTTATAAATATAAACATAGAAAATAGATAATTAAAATAGGTACATCATTAAAAATACACATTATAGCAATTTCACAAAATTAATTTATGATTTTTATGAAACAAACAAGTGTGTAGACTGTATAGGTACAACATGTGTATTATTTTATTGAATAGATTTTATTAACAATTTGCTTTTTTTTCCAAATGGAAATATTTTTGCAGACAAATAACTGTCTACTGTGTAATATGACTAATATGAGAGATGATTCTTTGAAAAGGATATGATAAATTGTTATGATTATGATGTTGATGTGGATGTTTACTGTCAGCAAAATTTAACCATAGCCTAATAAATAATAGAAGTGTTGACTTATTGGACATGTACAACAAAAAATATCAATGCTGTTATTAAACAGATTTATTATCTCAAATTAAAATTGTCAACTATAAGCTGTGGAGTATACTTAGAGTGGTATCATTAGTGACCCCTTTATATTCTTGTTTATTGCATGCAACATTTGTATATTATAATTTATAAGACTCATGGAGACAATTTTTTTTGTACAGAATCTATTTCATTATGTTTGAAACACTTTTTCGGCTACGGTTACTAAATCAACTCAATTTTATATTAACTAGATAACTTCAGATATCCAAAAAAAAAAAGGTGCACCTACACAATGTAAGATGAATAATTATAGAATAAATATTAAAATAAGTACCTATGCAAAACTTCTTACTTACTTGTAACTGTTGGTTTTTTTTTTAATAAGTGTGTTTATACTGCATAGAATATATTAAATAACTACTAAATTAAAAAATTATTCACGAATTTAAATTAAATAATGTGCTTTTAAATGTTTAGAATTTAATAACTTTTTGATAATTGCAGTAATATTCAAGATTGTACTTTAGTTCTTAATAATAAATTGGCTTTGTAACTCAATTTAAAAAAATTTAAAGAGTACATACAATCACAGTACAAAGAATAGAATAAATAGTATATACTATATATATATAGCATATAATGAATAATATATAATTCTATATATTATGTATTATCAATATGATGAATTAAGTCTATAAGCTTTTATGAATTGATTTCTAAACAATTTTTAAACAAGCCATTTTATTTATTAACAAATAGTTATTTTGTCAACTATGTTGTCACATTATTCCATCATCTTAATATTCTATAACAAAAAGCATATGCTGTGAATACCAAGTAAAATAGTATTATAAGCTCTGCAAGAATTACAACTTTGCTTAAATCTTTTTCCATTATAATTTTAGTAGTGAGAGTTTATCTATCATTGGATAAGACACAATTTAAAAAAAAAATAAATAGTAACAATGCACACTTCTCAAGTACTTCAAAAATACAATTATGTTTAATCTGTTGAACTGGTACTCACATGTGTATGTGCAGTTTGTTCTGTTGTAAACATAGTAGACTAAATGAACCAAAAAAAGTCCCCCACACCCAAGACCATATTTTTTAAAGGAGGAGGGAGAGTTCCCCCAATGAAATATTTATATAATCTTAAAAAAATTATGTTTTATCTAAGTAATGTACTATACTACTATGTACAGTATTTCCAGTACTTTTAAATATAACTAGAGAAAAATTATTCATCTACAGCTCTGAATTAAACCATCTACCTACCAGAATTTTAACTAAATAATGAAAAATGAAACAAAACTATTATAATAGTTTTAAAAATAGTTCATATAAATTGTACCAGTGTATATAATATAATAAAGTATAATACACACCACCTAAATTGCAATTTGTGATAAGAATCTTAAACGGATGGAGACATCAATTTGAGAATATGTATTATGTTATTAACAAAATAACAATACTAAATCATTTTTTCAAACATGTCTTTATAACAATGCATAAAAGGCATTTTAGTTTAGATAAAAGTTGTAACAGCTGCGACTTAAAATTTGAATGACCGGCATCTATTGGCAGGTCTTAGACTATATGCAACAAATAAATTACAAATATTGAGTTTACAAATACCAATATTTCAAGAAGTAGAGTATTTCAATATTTTCAATTGGTATTATTTTTTCATACAAGGCTTTTTAAAAAAAACAAAAAAGAATTAATAAATACATTTATTTGATAAATTATAAAATAAATAATAAAAACATTTGGTACTTTGTTTTCATATTTGATATTGGCAAAAGTGTCATAAACATTTCTAAGTAAAATTATAGAATAAAAAATTAAAACTTTATAATGTACAAATCTTAACTAATTTACCTAACTTTTTGCAGTTCCTAAGCATTTATCTACAAATGCTCCTACATAGAACAGCCATTATACAATACATTTGGATATCAAATAGAAAAGTAAAATTATCTTATCTTAGACTAAACAAATTACTCAAAGTGTAACTATTGTTTTCCTCAACAATTATTGAAACACAACACGCCTTGTATTGTACAATATTGATCACTTATGGCAATATTAAAAATTGTGAATTTTTTTTAGTGTTTGTTTGATTATAGATTTTGTTTAAAATGCTCCATCTATTAGTTGATAATCATTTTATTCCTTTAGCCAATGAGAATTGAATCTTTACAAGTTTCAACAGTGACATAAATGATAACTTATTCTTTTTTAGTTTTGTTATAGGTTCATCGAGCTCTTCTAGTTTTCTTTTTCGTTTTGTTACATTACTTTTTACACGATCAAGTACTTTTATAGCAGGTTTTGTTGGTAAAACATCACGAGACTTACGATTTGAAGTGGCAATCCCTTTCTTAGCAGCTCTTGCTAATGATGTATCACGAGACTGACGATTCTGGCCGGCACTCCCTTTCTTGTTGCGATTTGTTTTTCTTCCTAAAACAGAAATATAACTTGTATTGATGTATTGTGTATGTATTCATATTCATTGCAGCTGACATTAATATTGTACAGGAGTATTAAGTGAAAATTTTGTTTTTGAAATTCAACTTTTATTACCTACAATATAAATTATGTTAGCACTTATATGTGATATGAGTATTAATTACCACAGTATCAATTCTTCTTTATTTCTTTAATCATTATTTTTATGAGTACTTAAAATAGTTTTAAAATACAATTCAAATTGTTCATATCTAATAAGCTTGTATTAGAGATGGAGAATAATTAAATTAAACAATAAAACAAAGTTCATGAATAAAATAAAAAAGAGAACAAATTAACAACACAATTATTTTTAGGGTTTTATACATGAAAGTTCCGTATTTTAAAATTCTGTCCCGGTGTCAGTACGCTTTCTGGATGTTTAATTGTTCTGTCACTTCCCGATATGTTAGTCAATTCAACCAAAGCTTTTAAATGTGCCCTTTATTCCCATGATTTGTCAGAGAAAAATAAATCTGCATACATATTCATCTACCAGACTATCAACCCGAAGATCAAACATTAAATTTGCTCTTAAAATAAATAATAGTGGGTCTGAAGTATTACTTAATTACTACATCATACTCTATATCACATTAATTTTCTGCAACACATTTATTTTAACAATTCTACTTGATAAATAATTTTCAAACCCACTTAAATTAATAATATTATTTATACTAAAATGTGGTAACATCTGTACTAATATTTGATGGCTTGACAAAAGCTTTAGTTGTATCCTAGAAAACAAGTACATTAAGTACAACTTTAAACTTTTATTTAATTCATTATATAAAAATTAAATAGTATTACAGAGAGCATCTATTGTTTCCAATGTTTCTATACAACCTAATCTAAATCAAAATTGATACTTCAATAAAAGTTAATTTTTTTTCCAAAAATGAGAAGAGCCTTAACTTAATTATTTTCTTCAATATTTTAGAAATATTATTGAGTAGAGTTATTGAAATGTAATTATTTTAACTATTGCGATCTTCATCCTTGAGAATAGATTTGATCACTGTTCATTTATAGATAAAAAATTTTTTTTTATTCATTCATAATTAAATTTGTCAAACATTATAATATCAGTTCAAAATTATTGAAGATACATGTGAGCAAGATTTTCATTTATAAGTATTTAAAATGAAAATTTTGATAAATTTTTTTTAAATCACCAACATTTGATAAAAATATTTAATTTGTATGGCTATGGATTGACAATTAAAATCAAAGTTTCTCATAAGTAGTTAATACTAAATTTGTAAACAAAAAATCTAAAAATATATCGACAATTTTTTTTTATTGGTTGGGTACAAATTTGGAAACGAAGTTTCATTTGTAATTATTTTATCATAATTCAAAGACATATTTTTAAGAGGAAATAACATAATTGTATGTAAAGTATAAATTTTACTGTAGTATATTTTATTTTCAAAATATTTGGATTAATTTTAAACTATTGCCTATTTTTTCTACGGTGTGGCAGTATTAACTAAAAACGGTCAAAACTTCATAACAATAATATAATATGATAAATATAGACTAGGTATTAAAGTAGTAAATTTATGCTATGTTTTAAGCAAAAATTAATCAACCTTAATACTAATAGTGTTTTGTATTAGTGCAGTAGAAGTTCTACTTTCGAGGAAAAATATTGTGTAAGCGTGCTCGTCATAAGTTTTTTTTTTTATTCAATTACAAAATACAAATACAGTAGAACTCCGATTATCCGGATTAATTAATGTCAAGGGTGGTCCGGATAAGCAAATATCCGTATGATAGACATAATATGACATATCAAAAGTTATATTGTAATATTGTATGTATTTATTATTTATAAGTATGTAATATATTTTGAAATTTTCAACAATAAACAAATAATTTTATTTTAATATTTAACTGAAAATGGTATGACGAAATACGATTACGATTAATTTCGATTTACGAGTTATTAAAAGACCTATCTTTCTTTTTTGTTGTCCGGTTAATTGAACGTCCGGTCGATTGGTGCGTTCAGATAATCGGAGTTCTACTGTATTTGTATTTTGTAATTGAATAAAAAAAAAAACTTATGACGAGCACGCTTACACAATATTTTTCCTCTACGTGGAAGATCTATGAACATAAATATGTTTTTGAGGTATATGGGCTCGAAAATTTCGATCTACGTTGAGAAATGAATGAAATATAATTAATCGTAAGTAGTTAAATGTTTGATGTGACGTGAAATGTGACGTTTGATGTGAACATAGCGTCGTATTGTTTTTAATTGTCAAAATGGCCGGATTGCTTTAGTTATCACTAGGGAACGGATTTTATTGTAATAAAAAAATCAAAATATGTACATAAATATGTAATTATTTTTATTGAAATATGTAAAAAAAAATTCAAAATATGCAATAACCGCTTAACAGAAAAAATAAGTACCAAAAGTAAGTATAACAATTGTATCTCTTATCTAATTAATAATTATTAAAACAATGCGAAACTACATATTCTCTAAGATTTAAAAACGTAAAATGGCGGCGATTTGGTCGTAAAATGTTTGTATTGACTGAATGAACGTTACACATCAACTGACGTAATGATAGTTAATAAACCCGATTTTTCACAACATTTACAGTATAAAACTTTCCCATCACTTTGAAATGTTTCATTCGGAAATTATTTTAAATATGATTATTATTGAATGAACTTACAACTTTAGGTATTTTAAACAATTTTATAAAAAAAACAACAAAATTTCGATGTAGATATGAAGAAAAAAACGATGCAAATGATTACTCCCGCCAGAACAGAAACTAGACTGAAGACTGAAGACCGTAACATTGAATAAACATGTTAACTACCCACTTCACACTTGTCCACAGTGTATAATACGATAGCAGTGTATAAAGTACGTAAGTCCATTTAGAGAACGTAGATAATGTTTATCGTCATTGAAAATTACAAATATTATTATTTTAGGCTTTCATCGACAGCGTATAATATTTAGACCATAGGGTATCTGATTGCCATTAAGATAAGGCAAATAATCTTTGACGTGAATTGACGAAAAAAACCAAAAATACCCAAATATTTACGAAATATTCAGTTATTTACAAAATATGCGAATATATGTATTTTTACCCAAATATGTAAAAATATGTAAAATAAAATTGGGCTTATTTTAATAAGAATGGTCAGAATCGTGCACATTTTTTATCAGATTAAAAATATCTCATTCCAATAAAAATATGTATTTACAATAAAATCCGTTCCCTAGTTATCACCATAGAACCACAAATCAATAAAAATAAGGTGGACAAGTGGGTACTGCTCTACTGTACAGTAGTTCTCAAGCAAGTAGTACAGAGGTATTTAAACTTTTTTATCCCACGGCTCCTTTAAGTCTTCACAGTTCACAATGTATTGACGGCTCCCAAATTGTAGTAGGAATAGATGTGTTACATTTGAATTCAATGATAAATCATTGCATATGAAAAACGATTCTGAGCAGCAATTTCATCCTAGCATACTTGTATAATAATGATATTATTTTTATCCTTATTTAAAAATAATACGTATTCACATTCGTATGTACTCTCTTAACAATGTAATTATTGCGATAACAAACTCGTTATGAGATTATAAAATGACGACAAATTCGGTTATCGGTGAAACAATATTATGAGAGTTATGGAAAAAGTATGCCAGTTAGTAAGGTTAGGTTTTCGACACGATGTCTATGTTAAAACGAAAAGTTGAAATTTTAGATTCTAGTAAAAACAACGGGTAAATTAATTGTTTGGACACGGTGTATTGGGTGGCTTCTGCTCAAGTTCAAGTCAAGCCTGAAACTGTTAAAAAATGCTTCTTGCGATGTGGTTTCAATCGTTGAGACAGTCATACGATGAACAAACAGTTAATAGGGAGAACAATCGGCAATAGATAGAGATCTTTCAGCTTTCATCACACTGATCGACAGCAGTGTTGAAGTAGTCATCTATTTTGAATTAGACTTAATCATTTCCAATCTTGACACCAATTTAACGAGCACCGATAACCCTGATAAGCCCAAAAAAGAGAAAGAAGACGAGCCCAAAGAAGCAGAAACTTAAAACCAATAAATATCAAATAACAAGTTTACAGGACGCTTTGTCTGCTGTAAAGAACGTAAGTCATTTTATTTCATCAATAGAGGCAAAAAGCAGTACTATTTTCACTTCTGCTGTAACATTAGCAAATGATGTTTCTAATGAGATTGCACAGATACGGTGTAGTTATAAACAGACAATGATTTTTTTTCATAAAAATAATTTTAAAAAAATACTTGTACTTAATTAAATAAATATGTAATTATTGATTGTACAAATATAATTTGTAAAAATGTAATAATTTGCAATAAATAATAACATTATACATGCACACATAGTCATTGAATGGTATTGAAACTGTTTTATTTTGCATAATTATCTGCATTATTTCTATGATTTTTTATTATATTTATTTTACATAATTGTCTATAAATATTATTTATATTATGTATTATAACACTTATTTTTTAAATAATAAAGGTAAACGCCTAGGTTTTTTTTCCAAATTCTTCAATTGAATTTGGGATTTTCTAATCGTAGCCACTAGGCACTAGCCCGCGTTACATTGTAGCCGTTGAAAAAAAAAACTAAAATAACTTTGTATCGTTATACAATTTGAAAAAATATTTTTAGGTATTTAACTATTACTATTATTATTATGTATACAAGCATTATTTAGAAATCAACGAATACTTGCACAATGCACTCCACTGATAAAATTCGTTACAGCGTCTATGTACATAATATATTATTTTATTTTGCGCTTTATGAATTCCAAAAATGTATCTCCTCTGAATAACGGACAAAATTTCGGTGACTGAGATTTCACAGTATATTAAAATCAAACTAAAATTATTAATTTAATAAATTCCTAAGAAAAAGTAGAAAGCTACTTAGATTTTTTTCCACTGTGTTATACCTAAAAAGATCCTGATTCCTCAGCTTGAATTACAGAAAAAAAATTTGCAGTAGGTAGCATGCTACATTTGGCTGTGATCATTATTTTTGTATTTTTTATATTTGTAAATCTATCAATGATATTTTTGTTATATTAGTTAATTAAGACATGTCTAGTCATGGGTTTTTAGGAATTTTTGAATGTAAAAAGTATCTACCCATACAAACATTAAAAACAGAGCCTTTATTATCAATTATTAAAAATCAGGTAATTATTACAACTAAAATCTAAACATCCAATATTCAGTAATAAATTATATTCACTTAAAACCGGATTTGGTTCATAAGAAAGTTTTTTTTGAATATTTGAGAATATTTCATGGGTTAGGGAATATTAAGATAATTTAGCATATTTTGTAAATTGTAATAAAAAAATAAAAATTTATTATGTTTTTTAAATTATTGTTATTAATTTTTATAGTACCTACTGTTGTATGTGCTAACCAGTTTGGGACTATCGTATACCTATCTATTGAAAGGTACCAAAAAAATATAATAATCCACAACTATTAGAATTTCTCTTTTATTATTAGATACAAACACAAAAATAATATTCAACACGAACAAACAAACATCTAATCTTACTCGAAAACCAGCACTTCCTGCACACCCTAGTTTTACGTCCTTAAATATAATTTTACAAACTGCTGCCTCAGCTCATTTACTTCATTGGCCTATTATTATGAATATTATAATGTTTTTAGTTTTGTTAAATATAAATTTGTATGACCCAAACTGGTAAGCACAGACAACACTACCATGCCTGAAAAAATATTATACAAACCATTTTTTTTTTCAAGTATAATTTTTATAAAAAAAACTGTCATTGCGCCGTTATTTATTAGTTTACCTAATATATACTGATAACAACAACATATTTGACTATCAAAAGTCCAAATATATTTTGGTTTTGAGATTGTCTTTTTAATGAATAAAATAAAAAAAAACCATTAATTTTCAATAGGCATTTTTTAAAACAATGAATAGAATACCGTTCAACATAGAAAACACTACTTGAACTGTTACTAAAGTCCAATTATTCCATTATGCAAATTGTATACCTGACTATTGTAAAAATATTGCATATTCAAGCATATAAACATATATCTAAGCAGATAAACCTCATTAGGTTTATTGATTATTTTTACATACCTATTTATCTCATTTTCCAGGGAATAAACCAAAGGAGAATATTTTTAAGTTTTTAAGAGAATATTAGCCATAATATTTTAGGTGTTTTAAGAGAATATAAATAGACTTTAATTTTAACTTTTCTTTGACTTTGGTAGATAGTGCTATTGTATTACAGGCATTTGTATTAAAATTCAAAAGAGCAATAAATATTGAAAGAAAAATATTTAGTACCTTTTGCAATTTTTAATGGCTTATTTTTTGTTTGAACACGGCCATTTCCAAAAATTGTTGGTACAGCATCAGGGTAAAGTATGCGCCTCTTTACATTGGATTTAAAACATGTTGGCTCAAAATGAAATGAGCATATCTTACGGTTTGGTAAGACATCTTTGTTTGCTAATCTACACTGTTTGAGCCATATCTGCCGTTTTTTTGGACATGCTGGAAATCTAATACAAAATAAAATACGGCTGATTAGTCTGGTGTGTTCTTGTCCCCGAAAGCTAGGGTAGGTAATGTTATAAACGATACTTACACATGGAAAGATATCCTGGTGCTAGGATTTTTGAGCAATGGTTTCACACACAGAACGCAAACGTTTGGCATTTTAACAATAATGGATTGTTGATATATTTTAACGACGCGATCACCACAGTAAAGAAGTTCGATTATTACGAGTAAGTACGTCGATTCAGTTTGTGATCACGGCCATCGATTTCGAACTTCACAAACCGAATTGATGAGTAGCGATTGCCGACTGACGACTTCCACTATACATATATATATAAACACGTTATGGGGAAGCCGCAATCGCTCGCTTAAAACCGAAATTGAAATACAAAACGAATGCAGTGCGTCTAAATTACAGAAATCTTATCAGGTTAGTAACGTTAGTAATACACGTAGTAACGTTCATAACACAATTAAAAACACACGATCTTTTATATTTTGGTTATATCGCGCTAAATAGTAAATACCAATTCAGAAAAGTGTTAATACTTATTTCATACCACTCAAAACGGCTTATTGGGGAGAAAATATTTCATACGATTTTACGAAGGAAATAGGTTAGGCCTATCCGATCTGTAATTCGTTTATTGATATTCGAATTCAAAACCGTTATCATGTTAATGAACACGATTCCAGGTCTTACCGGACATCAGTTCAATAGGTGTGTTTTACCACCGCAAGGTGGATTGTTGAGGCGTGCTTTTATTTTACTGATATACACTAGCGCTCCGGTAGGATACGGTTGAAGTTTTTGGATGATCATAATATTGTGGATATTGTATTATGATAGGTTAATATTAGTAGTTTTTTATAATTATATATTTTTAATTATTTGTATTAATTTATTCTGTACATTTTTGTGCATTACTACTTTTATTATTACCTAATTGTTTGTTTGAATGAGTAATATATGCTGTATTGTTGACTGTAATAATTCTTATAAAAACACAAGAAATGTTAAGTCTTATAATTTTCGAAACAAGCATTATCAGTTATGAGAGTGAATTAAAGAAATAATCGATTATTGCAGTTAGCGTAAACTAAATAAATGCATAATGTATTTAATATGTTTACTGATAATTTATTCATATTTAACTCAATAAATCTGGCTTTATCAAAAATGGGCAATTGTGGTACCCTAAAGCAGTGCATCTCAACCGTTTTTGTTATAGGGCCCCCTAAATTTAATGTAAAACTATCCAGGCCCTCCTCAATCAGAATCATTAATTATTTTTTATTAATGATACACTAAATTTACATGCACTATTTCACACGAATAAATTATTAAAATGTAAAGAAAATAAATGTTTTTTAATATATTTTTGAAACATGCAATCTTATAGTTGTATAAAACTTAAAACATATATAAACAAAAAAGAATTGGTAATAACTATAAAGCAATACAAAAATATTCAGTAATAATGTAGATTTGGTTTCAAACACAGGCTAGGATAATGATAATAATAATAATAGAAAATGTGTTTTCATTATCTGATTAGTGATAAAGTACCTTATTGTTTTTGACTTTTTTTCTATCATATAAGTAGGGAACTTAAAAATTAAATTATTAATAATGTGGTACCTATAGTTAGAACGTTAGAACTGAATCTTACAGTATTAGTTTTAATTAATTAATCATTAATGTGCAACTTTATATTAACAAATGCATTTTTTTTATATACAGAAAATATAATCACTGATTTGATAATTTTAGGTTGCTTATAAAAATAAATTCTTCTAGCTTCTATAAAATAAATAAATAACTACCAATAATCAAACTATTTGGAAATAAATTATATAATTTTTAATTAAAAACAAACATAGCTTATACTGCTTAAAGCTATAATATAAATATATAATATTATAGTAAGTAACCTTGATTAAAATAAATTACTACACAAATATGTATGTTGAGGTACACAGATATACAGAAGCTAAAGGTAAATAAATGTAAGATCGGATATAACATGTAATAATATAATAATATGTATAATTGTTATGAATAACTATAGTGCTCCGATGCGTAATATAAAACAACGACTGATCGTCCTACAGGCTAGTACATATAACGAATATGCTATAGAAATATAAAATGCCTATTCAGCGTCTGCTGTACTACAGTGTGAAATGTGTGAATAATTTGCTTATAATCTATATGATACAAGGTGTGTTGTTTACATTCAACACTTCCCCTTAAACAATATACCCTAACTTAGAAGTTAGAATTAATATATCTAATTCCCAACATCTCCCTGAGTTCTTGAAATCTTGGTCGTGGAGTTGGCTTAGTCAATATGTCAGCTAACTGTTCCTTGCTTGGCACATACTCCAGAGAAAACATACCTTCACTGAACTTCTCACGAATGTAGTGATATCGAACATCGATGTGTTTTGTTCGCTTATGGTATTCTGGATTTTTCACTAGTTTGATGGCGCTTT